TGCCCAACATGAGAAATCAATTGAATTGTCTAGAAAATATGTGCATGAAGTATTACTTAAATATGTTTGATTGATTTAATTTCAATCTAGAAATTATTATACTTGTCCATGTTTTGTTGATGGGTAGATGAGAGAGCGTGAATCACCTGAAAAATAAATACATACCCCTTCGTAAAGAAAATGTTTTTCTTGTTTTTAAAGAAAATATGGTCACGTGACCAACTTTTGGAAAATATTTTTCATTAAAAAAAGTCAATCAAACATTGTAAAAGTAGGAATTTGGGTGAAAAAAATACATTTTCTATGAAAAATAAAGTCAATCAAATACAAACCAAAATTCTGATTTTTGTTTAAAAGGAAATTTTATTGGGCTACCCGGTTTATAGGGCCTACAAGCCGGACCTTGAAAAATGGGATGGCGCTGACTGGACCATATCAATGGGCTGGACAGGGATAAGATTGACATTTGAACATCCAAGCAAACACATAAGAAACCCTAGCTTCCTCTCCTATCTACTTTATGTTAGTTGGTGTTTTGTTCGAAGTGGTATAAGAGGTTAGTAAGGGCGGCTGAGAACCTCATCACCACCACTGCTCCGCCATGGTCTATATCTCAACGCTATCATTCTATCTCTACATTTGCTTCAGACATACATATATGAATCTCGGCGCATCACTGATTCTCTATCTGTGTTTAAATGTGTGAAAGCAGGCGTCAGAGAAGAAGCTGTCGAATCCAATGAGAGAGATCAAAGTACAGAAGCTCGTCCTCAACATCTCCGTTGGCGAGAGTGGAGATCGTCTTACCAGAGCCGCTAAGGTATAATACCTTCCCCACGACAATTTTTATTTTATTGAGTATTTTGCAATTTGAGTTCAATTTGTTATTATTTTTATTTTTTCAGGTGCTAGAGCAACTCAGTGGCCAATCTCCTGTTTTCTCTAAGGGTAAGTTTCTCAAAATCTGAAGCTATTTTGTAGGGGTTGCTGAAATGAAATTCTATTATTTGTAGTAGCTTTACGGTCTGCAAAGTACTATTCTTGTTTACCATGTTGTGCAAGTCATATGCGAATGGTTTATGTTAGTAATTGATAAAATGCTGCTTTGCTTAATGCCTTGATGATAGATCATGACATTGTTAACTTCGCAAATGAAATAGGCTTCTAGTTTTCTCAATTGTGTTGGATATGGCTTAATTTAGAAACATTGAGCACTATTGTAAATTGGAATAATATTTTAAATTTTGCTTGAACATGATGCAACTGTAGCTTTACTGTCTGCAAACTACTATTATTGTTTACCATATGTGATAGTCATAAGTGAAAATTTGTAGCTTTACTGTCTGCAATGTACTGTTCTTATTTTACCATATTGTGAAAGTCATAAGCGAATGGGTATATTAGTAACTGATGAACTGTTCTGCTTGGTCATAGATTACGATTAACTTCGTAAATTTTCCTTAGTGGTAGCTCTGAAAATGAAATCTGGCTAGAAGTTTTCTCAATTGTGTAGAGTGACTTTGGTCAACGACTCAACTTTCTTTCTAACGAGAGTTTATACTGTGGCGAGATTGGTAATTAGATGCAAAAGCATGCTTATCCGAAACTTTATTTTATTTATTCTTTTGAAGTGCATGAATGCAAAAAGAAATTAGCTGTAGTTATTTCATTATTAAAAGTTTGAAAAGGTGAATTTTGATAATCTGAGGATTGATCTTTTAAAATCAAAACATGTAATGATGAAAGGAACTGAGTTTTTCTTTTCTCCTCCACATATTTTAGTTAATGGAGTTATTTGATTTGTTCCACAGCAAGATACACCGTGAGGTCCTTTGGGATCAGGCGTAATGAAAAGATCGCATGCTATGTAACAGTCAGAGGTGATAAAGCAATGCAGCTTCTTGAGAGTGGGTTGAAGGTCAAGGAATATGAGTTGTTGAGAAGGAATTTCAGTGACACTGGCTGTTTTGGCTTTGGCATTCAGGAACACATTGATCTTGGAATCAAGTAAGTCAATATTATGATATTGCTATTGCTTGGTTTTGGAGACTGTTAAAATGAAAATTGTATTTATTAATGATTGTGAGGACCCAACCACTTTTTGTTTTATTAGTTGTACTTTTTTCTAGATATTTGTGTTACCCCCTTTTTTGCTGGATCAAAATATTACGGATGTCACGTGACCTTCATGCAAACCATGTGTTGTTCAGTTTGGTTATCTGTGAATACTTCACCATGAGCATATGGTCTTGCAATGGGTATGTTGATATCTTGTTTCAGTGCATAAATATGTTCTTTTGACCCATCACCCCCAACACCAACACCAACACCAACACCAACACCAACACCAACACAGCACTGCCTGCGAAATTTTGCACCTCATCACGAGATGACTGCTAGAAGTTGGTCTATGGTTGGATGTCTCCAGCATATGGGCCTTAAAGCCCCTTTCATTATATTTTCTTTTACACCTGGTCTATAGTGTTTGTGTCATTAGCTAGAGGTTAGGTGCAGTTCCCCTCATAATTTCTACTTTCTGAACCTTTTAGCTCTAATAAATTCTCTATCATTGTTGTAGTTTGATAAAAAAAGGAAAGGAAGAAAAAGGTGTTGTGCATGAATTCTCCTAGTTAAGATTGAGATTTGAAATGCAGTAGGTTGATGCTCATATTTTTTAGGTCTGAGTTGCGAAATTTCGTGTTATAATTGTGCTGCCTCTATTGAACCAAATTTCTTAAAGAGATCATCTTTAAACAAGTTATCGTTGTCTATGAATTTTCCAGGTATGATCCATCAACTGGAATTTATGGTATGGATTTCTATGTTGTTTTGGAGCGCCCTGGCTACCGTGTGGGCCGTCGTCGTAGATGTAAATCTCGAGTTGGAATTCAGCACAGGGTCACAAAGGAGGATGCAATGAAGTGGTTCCAGGTTAAATATGAAGGAGTTATCCTCAACAAGTCGTCTAACATTACAAATTAGTTTGAAAGCAGTACTAGACATGTTTGAGATCTACGCATTTTGTAGACCATCATCTGCTACTTCTGAGCTCAAAGTTTTAGATATTTACATTAATGTTTGTTGCAGGCAAGTTTATTTTCTCTCACCTTTTTACTTTTTTTATCAAGTAATTAGTTTACCCTTTTTATCTGGTTAACTAATTTATCGAGTTCTGTTTACCCTATTCCTTCATATCATTCATGAAGATAATATAATATAGCTAGGAAACATGTTATAAATTTAGTGGTTCAAATGTTAATTCTAGGTGACCAAATTTATATTTTCTTCTCGAAAGTATGTTTGGGATATATATATAGAGAGAGACATACTGTCCTATTAAAAATGACACAATAATTGACCAGAATACAATGTGTTCAGCTCTTCACTTGCACCAACATCAACCTGTTTTATACAGCGCCATTGACTTAAAAGCTTAATCAGAAATGGGTCAGCATCAATCTGAAAATTATGAATTTGACGTGTGTCAATCACCATTGTTAAGTATGATTGTATATTGAATATGCCTTGAGCCCTTTCAAAATTATTTTAGTATCACCACGAGGAACTACTAAATCAAACTCAAAATCATTTGTTGCCCTTACTTTTTAATTTTTAGTTGAGGTGTATCTTATAAAGGTACTCAGATATTTTTGGTACTCAATATTAGTCTACACATTGTGTAAATCTATAATATATTAAATATTACATCACGTGGAATTATTTTTTGGACGATTTTAACCCTACTACAATTTAATTGTTTCAATAATATATTACTTTTCGTTTTTCAATATATAATAAACACTATAAAATCCTTGTCATGTATGAATTCCGCATCATTAATTTTTAATTAATTAATATTCAAATTAATCTAAATTCAATGAATCTTTACGTGATGAATCTTGATCTACACGAATATAGATTATTATAGATGTATTTATTCCTACTCATGTATCGAGGAATTTTAATGGGTGTTTAAATTGATGTATTAGATTAATTCTTATGTATCAAATATAGTATAAAAATATTGCTCATTGTAGTATTTCATCGTCACAAAAAATTTGAATCATAGAAGTAGAGTTTTGAGAGTACAATTTTCTTCTTTTAAATTTAGAGAGTACAATTTTCTTCTTTTAAAATTTATCCTAAATTTTATTTTCTTTAGATCATTTGATAACTCATCTAATGATCAAATCCTTCCAACAAGTCTGTATCAAATATTACTTTACTATGTTGATAAAGTATTTCAGAATAACGTGCACTGCACATTCAACTTGACTAGTTGCTGGAAACACATAGAGAGTAAAGGTTTCCCTAACCATAGTCGTGGACAAAGTGACCAAATCAAACTAGACCAAAACAAAATGAAATCAAATGTAACGATTCGGTTAGATTCAAGAAAAATATTAATGGTTTTGGTTTTTAGAACTGAAAACCATTCGGTTGTGATTTTGGTTCAGTTCAGTTCTAATTATAGAATCAAGAAACAAACTCAATATTTAAATTTTATTATNAATTGAAAATCAAGAGAAAAAGGTCATCTGCCTTCGAATTCTAATTTCTCAATATGGAGACTATAGACTATAATTCATTTTGAAGACCGAGACCCTAATTCATCTCATTTTCTCTCATTTTCAATTTATACATGCTCTCACATGGAGATCAACAACGCATTGATTTCTGAAATTGAAGCTTCAACTTTCCATTCTTCAAATGTTATTTCTTTTTTTCTCAATCAGTAATAAAATTAAGACTAAATCAAACCAAACAAGAACGGAATGTTTCAGTTCCAATTTGGTTCTATATCTTTAAAAAAAATCATTAGTTCATAGTTCGATTCCATTCTCTTGGTACTAGAACCAAATGGAACCATGTCCACCCTTAGTTTAAATCATTTTATAGAAGGCCCTGCCCTATGAGCCAACCAATCAAACTATATCATCGGTTGCTGCCATGAAAATATCCCGTCCTCCACTTTTGTGGCTAGTGTACTCATCAATATTTCAACAGAATACAGTAAACAAACAAACCAGATAAGGGGAAAGATGATGTGAAGAAAATGTACAAGAAACGAGAGGAGCTATTTTTCCCCAGCTTGAACAACATCCTAGTCTCTTCCAAGTAGAGGTGTCGTCTTTGACATTAATCGTCTCTCCTTTAGATGGAACTGAGGAAGTAGCAGTCTCATCACCAGCCTCGACAGCCTTCTTTCTCACAATCCTGTACATCTGAGTGAGGACTTCAGTGAATGCATTATGGACGTTAGTTGCTTCCAATGCAGAAGTTTCCATGAAGTAGAGGCTCTCCCTCTCTGCTAAATCTTTACCATCCTCAGTTGAGATGGCCACGAGATGTCGTAGGTCTGATTTGTTGCCAATGAGCATTACTACTATATTAGGGTCTGTATGATCTCTCAGCTCTTTCAGCCATCTCACAGCATTCTCAAAGGAAGGACGTCGAGTCACATCATATACAAGCAAAGCACCAACAGCTCCTCGATAATAAGCACTAGTTATGGCACGATATCTGAGAAGAGGAAACAAGAAAATGTTCACATAAATTCCAATAGAGTGGTACACAAGACGAAAATACAAGACACAGCAAGGAAGCCTACATTCCACTTTAGCATTTTTCTGGTAAAAACATAAATTCATATTATTTATTTTTCTTTTTCATTTCAACCGTTTTAAACTTCCAATATAAAACAAAACAATTACTACAAGAGTAAATCAGCAATAAGATAAAATTTGAAAAAAGTTATGAAGTATGAAGGATGCAGTAAGAAAAGAGCAAATATTCTTTGCACCGCCAATGTGAAAATTTTATAGAAGTACTTCAATTTCTACACAATATGAGCAACACATACTGGCAATAACATAAAATGGGTAAGATTTCTTGTACAAAAAAAAATAATAATAATAAATAAATAAAAATGCAAATATGTCATGTCCCAAAGAACATAGTAAAGCTCTTATGGATAATCATCCTGTCCCAAAGATTGATTATTTTAGATATTTAGATTCGATTATTAACAAAAAGACGTGAAAAAGATGTCATGTATAAAATTAGAGCGGGTTAGACATATCGAGTAGTGCAACAGGAATTTTACTTAATTGGAAATACCTGTCAAGTTAAAAGACAAGTTCCACATAATGGTTGCAACTTTAATCGCATTATGAAGCAAAATGACAACTAGATAAATAAGGACATTAAGATGGATATCGACCAAATTAGAATGGGATAAAATATGTAATAAAGATATAGACAAATGGCATATTGAGGCTAAATTAACAAAAAGAGCACTTGAGTAGGGCAAGTATTGCGCATGTATAAAAAAGCTCTCATTCACAACACTAGTAGAATTGATTATGAGAAGTATAGGTGGACATATCCATAGACCTTTTTATAGATGTTGCACTGGATTCAAGCGGATTAGCAAAAAGGATTCATGTAAACAACCCAATTTTATTGGGATAAGATTTAGACTGTCACTGTTATGTTATATGCATAAATGTGTATCATACAGGACAAAAAGATAAGAAAAATAAAAAGAACTGACTAGCCGAAGACTAGAGAGAGAACATGTTAAGAACACGAGAAATAGAAAAGCTCGCTATCAAACTCTGATGAGTTGAAGGATGAGAAGTCCGCATCCTTTTGCCCAAAGGATTGACGAGTTCGGTTTGAGTCTTCATTGATTAGGTGGATCTACTTTCTAGTAAAGGGCCAGTGAGTTGCAATTGGAAGTGACAAAACAAAGACAAAAGTAACAGTAAATAATTCCAGTCAAGCCCTAGAGTATTCCATTTAAAAGGGAGGTGGAGAAGATAAATAAAGCCGTCACTTTATTGATGGACACTTTGAGGTCTTATTGTTTTGATTCCCAAAGTGAATTTACAGTAACTGCTTTAGGAGACCCATGCATGATTGAGAGTTCTGCTCGTTGCAGTATAGAACCAAGACTCCCAGACCTATGGAGACCATCCCAATCACTGCTAACGACGCTACTAAGCTATTTCTTTGGGCACGAAAATGGTATCGACCATGAGAAGTTTGAACTAGTTTCAAAAGCTTCATTGACCCTTGGACTTGAAAGTGTAAGAAAGCAGACGATTGAAGCAAACTTCAGACTGAAATTTGGATCTTGTGGAAGAATATAGCTTCCAGAAAAAGTACAAAGAAAGGCAGAAGCTCGACGAATCAGAAAAATAATTTGAAGGAAGATAACAGAAAACTGTTCGTTTAAGGAAAATACGATCAGATTATTGTTTTACAGCTTTAAAGAGAAAAGGGAGATAGAGAAAAGGGAGAAGCTCAATTGAGTGACCAGAGAGAAGATCATCCAATAGAGTCTATAACATAGAAAAAAGGGTGACCACACTGAAGATGTGGGGAGATCTTATAGACATTTGTCACACGTTCTAACATTTATTAACCTAATACGTCCAAAAGCAACCACGAAGAAACTATGTTATTCATCATGCTCATATAAACAGGGAACCATGAGGCATTTACCTCATGATAGAGACATAAAAAAAATGTGACTTACATAACTCAGCCTGCCTCGTATCCAGAGGCCTATGACACTGAAAACATTTGCATACACCTTATGAAAATGCCTTCAGACATATAAGCCTCACCCCATAGGCAAGGCTTAAGAATGTCTTGGGGCCATTGATTCAATCATTAGAAAGAAAGCAAAAGTACCATACCATATAATAAAAGAGTATGAGTTAGACTTGGAAAGCTCAACATTCCTTATTTCCTACCACTCTTTCTGTAGTTCACTTGGGCTGCAGAGAGGGAGAGGAGATTACATAAGATGTCTTCTCTCTTGTTTGCCTATGTTGGACGAGCCACATACATGACAGGACATGGGTAGACTGGTAACATTTCCGCACTAGTAGCAGAATGATTTATTCAGGAAAATAAGTGATTATTTTAGTTTACCGGCAAATCAGTTTCTTTTTAATGTACATTGATCATTATATTGAGGAAAAAACATATAGCAGGAATATACATCAAAAAGATAATTTTAGATGACGAGACGTGAGCATTTCGCAAAAACAATGTATTAAACCTTTTTTCTTCCAACATTTTTTAAAAATCAAATTATTGCAACAAAAATAATTTCCAAAAAATTATTAGATACATCAATATTTTCAATAGATGGACAAGTTGTCTATCATGCACGGAGAAGTTTATGTTTTATAGAACTGGAACTTGTAAATAGTAAAAGAAAAGGAAGAATGAAAGATAAAATGTCTTTAATTACAAAAGAATGAAACAAGGTGAAAGTAAAATAGAACAAATAAATCTATCCAACAACGGCATACCTGTTATAACTTGTCCATTGGGAGGCCAGCTCTCCACCAATGACTTAATAATCCTTACGCTTGGTGCTGGGATTTACATGTCCTATATAGACAGCATGGATTTTCCTTTATGTTAAGCGGAAATCACATGTTAGACCAGTTCTCCCCTTTTTGCCAAATCTAAAATTTCCTTTCCATGACAACGGTCTCTAAAAACTTGAAATACCTTGTGAGAATATAAGAAACGTTTCTCCATATCCCGTATTTATCTTTCCTCTAATCAGTTTTACTTTATCGGGTGGCTACTCTTCCTTCTCTTCTAATCGATTTGTTTTTGTTTCCTTCATACTTCGTTTTAAGAAACATAGAACCACAAAAGCCTCAGCTTTTTGGTCAAGTTTTGATCTCAGTGAGGTGCATTACATTGCAACAGTGTATGCGGATAAGTAATTTAGAATAAATAGCCACTATCTGGCTGATGAAAGTATTTATAGAAGGGTTTTCTCCTACTAGCTCATGATTAATGTTTACATCTCTTGGAAAGCATTAGTATGGCTAAACCAAAATCCCATTTAATGGCTGAGATAAGTCATTACATCTCGTAAAGGTTCATAGACTATAATATCTAGTGATGTCCTAACTCACCACCGACTCTGAAGAAATGATTGGGTTACAAAAACTCATGATTCGTAGATTCTTTGAATTCCATAAGCATGGAAAATTGATTGGCAAATGCAATCACATACGTAAAAAAAAGGATGCATAGAATATGAGCAATGAATAATGAATCTCATTCAAGATTTCTTGTGTTACATACCGGAATGACTTCCGATGACTAATTCCTACCCACTAGCTACGTCACAACATGTCCTAAATTCAATTTCTTCACCTCCTTTTCAAGATATCAAAATTGGTGTCAACTTTCCTAAAAAGAAAATTGCAATTATTTTTCCCAAGCTACCCTTATAAAACAATTCCCCATTTGTACTATGTACAATAAATAGAAGCACTTTCACAAGTCAAGATAGTAAATACATCCTGGGAGTAACTAAAATAACCTGCCTGTTCAAGCAAACTTTAACCACAGCAGTCAACTTGGAAACTGCGGAATATATGATAAGCCAATTTCCTTACCCTTTCCATTCTTTGGTTCTTCATCCTAGTCATAAGGACAAATAGGATTATCCTTCTTGTATATATAACATGAAACAATTAACTCTCTATATTAACGACAACAGAAGCATAAAAGAACTAGATTATTGCTACATTTTAATGAATTGTTCACTAAAAAATAGAGAGACTGAAGTTGAACAACTAACTTGTAATTAACCACATAGCAGCCCAAAAGAAAAGCTAAGAAAAAATTGAGGCTCGTATGGGAGAAAAGAGTACACAATCACCAAATCATCAACTCAACGTCATACGCAAAAATAGAAAGATTCGTTAAAGATCTCAATTGAGGAACTTTGATGCTTCCAATTCCCCATGTTTAGGTATCATGCTAGAATATGGACAGGATGATGAAGCACACGAGATTGGTAAGAATATGATGAACCATCAAAGAGATAAACAGGGGGAAAAAAGGGAGTCACCTCCCTAGTTTTCTCTTGAAAACAAAACTGGAGAAGAGAAGTGATCAAGAAAGAAGGAACCTAGGAGGGAAACTCAATTGGCACACTACTAAAGTGGTCGTGTTTAAGACAAATGACTACTAAAGCAAGCTTAACTGACTTTAACAAACACCACATTTATGAGGGGACAAAATATATCACCATAATATAGTAATGTAAATGAAATGAATAAATGAATTTAACTAAGTGAAAGCAAGAAAGTTGAACAGTTCAATTGGTAAAAGCTTTGAAAATTTATTCCGCGCAATAACTGCATCAGCAGGTGCAGAGTAAGCACTTGAGAATAGAGAATGGTTCCAGATACTACCTTCCCTGATCTTAAACATCATCAAAACTAGGTACTCATAGACCAATTGAGAACACATACAGCAGTCAAACATAAGTCCGGAGATGAAACATTTTCTTTCTTAACTCCTTCACCTAAGATGTAACTCAATAGAACATAAAATGCAGTGCACATTACAAATTAAGCAAAAATGTCACTTGAAATTCAGCATACAAGTTCCACAATTATGCATCAAATCTCATTTAGGAAACCAGGATACTAATCAGTATAACAAACCAGCAATGAAATGAGAACCATATACATCGTTATATGTGGGCAAACTTACTAATTCTCATAGACCCCGATATAAAAAAGTTAACCTTGATAGATGAAATTTCATCATTCAAATTACTTAGTATTTTGGTAACAATCAGCATAAGTTAGGACTAATATTAAAAATCACAAGACACACACATTGACAATAACCCTTTATTTAAAAATTGAATCTCAAAAGATGCAACAGCAATCTCCAAATAAGATAATAACAAGTCATATAAAATGTAAAAACTAAAGAGCAAAGTCCAACTCAACATCATTTGGGTACCCATAAAAACAGAGACAGAGCCTTGTAATAAAAAATGAATCTTGGTAAAAAGAGAAAAAGGGGAGGAGACCTTTCTTGGCCAGCAGTGTCCCAAATCTGAGCTTTGATGACTTTACCATCAATATTAAGACTCCTGGTGGCAAACTCAACTCCAATAGTGGATTTGGACTCAAGATTGAACTCGTTTTTGGTGAACCTTGATAGAAGATTGGATTTTCCCACTCCTGAATCGCCTATCAGCGCCAATTTGAACAAGTAATCATATTCATCTTCTGCCCTGTACAAAGCCAGCTGCTTTGCTTTGCGTGTGTACAAGCTTCGAGTTGCTTTTGGTTGATGGGCTCAAAGAAATTTACAGTCGGAGATTATAGGATGGAAGATTTTTGAGAAATGCTATTCATCCATGGGATATGCCCAGTCCATGTGGCGTATACGTGGCATTAAGGTGAAATTAATCATTTAGATCCATATAGACTGTTATGCATCTATACTCTATAGTGGGGATGAATAGCATTTTTCAAAATTTTTAGTTTTATCAATTTCAAAATATAAGTTTAAAATTTAAAATTTCAGAATTTTTAAAATTTTATTTATAAATTAATTAATTATACATATATTTTATTAATTAAATATATTAAGGTCATAATTTCATATAATTTGATCACAAATTCCATGTAATTGGTCACATATTATTAGTCGATCACAAATCACAATTTTCATAGATCACAAATTATTTTATGGTTATAATTCAAAAAAATTATATATTACAATTTGTTCTTCGATTACAAATCAAAAATTTGTATGTCGTAATTTATTCATCAATCACAAATCTATCAAATTAATAATCACATATTATTTATTGGTCACAAGTCACAAATTTTATAAGTCATAAATTTTTTTTACGGTCACAAAACATCAAATTAATATATATCAAATTATATATAGGTCACAATTTATCAAATTATTGGTATCTAAGTAATAATTATTACGGTCACAAAACATCAAATTAATTGATCACAAATTATATTTCGGTCACAATTTATCAAATTATTGGTCACAAATTAATAAATTTTTAGGTCATGCATTATATATAATTTATCTGTTTCATTGGTCACACACCAACCAATTTATTGGTCACAATCAATCAAAATACTTGTAACCACCACTACACCGTGACAACAACCCAAACCACCTCTTAGCAACAAAACCATCGTTGCAACAACCCAAACCACCAAGCGCACTAAGGCTGTCCGTGGGTCGGTTCGGTT